GTCATCAGAGGATGTTCATGTTGCTGTTAATATTGCAAAAAAATAAAATGTTAGATTTTTATGTTTTAGATATACAGACAGAAGCTTCCTTTATCCACTACTTTTATATTTTGCTTCAGGAAAAAATATTTATCAAAAATAATGATCTATATATAAAATAGAAAGATAGAAACAGCTTCAGATTTAGGTACTTCTTTTAGCAACGTAAGACAATCATTAAATTTTATCATTGAGCAGCTTAGAGACAGTTACCTGAGGGTAAAATAAATGAGTCATGGCTGCCCAGCATCCCCCTTGACAGGCTCCGTAAATCTAACTGAATTATCTTTAATGGACCCTGAGTGTACCGAGCACATCAGGGACTAAAAGGCTAGTTGGAAAATCCTTCCTGCATATGTGTATGTGTTCAGGGTGCAGATTGGAGCAGGGCATCCCTGCATTCATTCGATTATAAACGACTGATGCTTTTATAAATCAGTTTGACTCATTTTCCCCATCACATACAACAAATGCACAAAAAAAAAATCACATATTACACTAGGACTTTCTGCATTAAATAAGGTCAATAATAAGAGCTAACTGCAGTTCTAGTTACCACTTTTACAAAAGGTTAGGTAAAAATGTGTAAAATTGCACAGTGTGTATAGCAATAAAGAAGGTACAGTTATTATAGACGTTTGTTATAGAAAGGCCACTGCTGGGTAACAATTAGATTAACATTTAGGTGATGAAATCAAGAATAAAGCTTTATTAATACCTGTACCAGCGGATAAATACACTATTTTTTGGGCAACTTGGTCAACAAGTCCACAAGTTATTTTAAGATCCATCATGAAAATCCTTCTTTGTCAAATCATGAAAGGTTATTTTCTAGTTATCAAATTTTAATGTTGCAAACTGTCCCCTGAGTTTTCATGCATAGTAGATGTTATGTTCTTTGAATTAAAGCAGGTAGGAAATGCGGCTGACCTTATGTTTGTGCATGGTGAACAGGCAGACACCATCCTGGCCTCTCTCCTGGCTCTCATGGCCTCTCTTCAATCACTGTGAAAATAATACCTCAGACTTTCATTGTCACATTTGGTCAGTCTATATCTCTTCTCACAAAGCACAGTTTGCTTTGGCGCAAAAGATGATGATGAATTTCTTTTCTTTGCTTGTAATTCCAGCAGTGGTCATACTGCTGCTTGTCCACACAAATGAATCACACCCAGTTTTCTGCTTTCGGTCCAGGTGGTGCACAGGCGTGCATCCTCCTCTTTCACCTCACATCTGTTTTGCCGTGCTGAGCCACGGATGAGCAGTTGTACGCGGGAGGATGGGTCATTGCTGGGAGTGATCTGATTGGCCGGTAGGCTGTGGTGTGTGTGTGGGAAGGCAAATCCGGTAGGCTCTCTGAGAATGAGGGTGGTCCTTCGTGTTTTTTTTTTTCTTTCATCCCCCTCTCTCCCCATCCCTCTCTCCATCCCTCCTCTTCATATCTACTGTATATACTTCAGGCATGTTTTTATGGTACTGCCTCACAGCATCTCTCTGGTGAGACACATCAGCAATACAATGACGACATGAAAATATACAAATATATGCGCATAAATATAGAGAAGAAGGAGCAGCCATGAACCTAACTTAAAGTATCTGCTGAATATAATGATGCTTTAAAAGCTCATGACCTTTTTGTGTACAGTGACAAACAAATTCTCTTAAATCGTCATTATCCTTACTGGGATACATAACGTGTGTGCATAGATAGAAATGATTTGATATACCCTATATCAAATCATTTAAAAGTATAGTAGAGTCACAGAAAAAAAAACCATATAAAAGAATTCAAATTAACTCATTAGCAGTTATTTAGAGATTAAAAAATTGGAATATCTTCTTCCCAACATTCTAGTAAAATGTCAAAATATCTATGTCATCTCTTTATATAAAACCCATCATCACCCAGTAGTGGAGTTATTTTAAGAATTTTATTTAATTCATAAAATATATAGGATCCCTATTTTTTATTTATTTTTTATTTTTTTGCAGCTGTTGGTAAAAAAAAGAAAAGTAAAGAGTGGGATCACATAATGCTGATCTTCATCACTGGGGACTAATATCTCAAACAGAGACAATGATCGATAATCCAGCAACTGGAAGGGCAGAACACTAATGCTGACACCGGATAAAGGAACAGTACACACACACACGACAACATTTTAAAGATAAAATTATGAGTCAGGAAATCTGCAACGTCTCTAACTGCAGTTTTACCTGGTCTCTTATTTAAAGTTGGAAGGCTTTTTTCATAAATTATTTACAGTTTTTCTAAGTACACACTGAACCTGCAATACCTCAGAGGCAAAAGAACAAGTCACACAGCATCCAAAAATAGTGCATGGAAACAATTACAAACAGCACTGAATAACGTATCATTGAGTGTTTAACTTGGTTTAACTTTGCTGTAACAGTAAATTATACTGACTGAATGAGCTTTCTGTTCGCTTTCAACAAAATGTTAAAGTCATGCATTAAAATCAGTTGATTTTACTGAATAACTTTTATCATAAAGTTAACCCATTTGTTGCTCTAGTAGATTTATAATATTTGGGGAAGATTTCAACTTTTAAACAAATTAAATGAAATGTATTATTCTGGTATTGTTTGCTTTAAATCAATACTATTTTCTATCCAACCCTACATACTGTAATAATTTGCTCTGCTTTAATAAGCTGATTAAATTATATTAGTTTCTATGTTTCTTTTTAATTTTTTATAATACATTAAATTGCTCTTTATCATCCGAAAAAGATGCAGATATTCTCCTTTTCAAACCAAATCCAAAATGAAACTGTATAAACGATACTTCTTATTAAAAAGGACAAACTGCATTTAATGTATCCTTCCTTTATTCCCCCAAGTTCACCTAAAAAATATGTTTTTTTTTTTCATATCAAGAATTTACATCAAATCATACAGTTTTACAACTGGTGCTTCCAATTGGTCTAATAATAGTTAAATTAATTATCCGAAAATAAGTAAGACTGCCGTCACCTGGACCTGTCTGAGGGTCAGTGAACCTTCAATTCAAACAGAGGATCTAGTAAGAAGCATAGCAGAGGATTAAGTATTGTCACAGGGTCATTTTAGCAGCATGTCTAGTACTTAACTTAGAAATCTTAGTAGGCTGTATAGATAAAATAAATTAAAGATTTTAAAGAAAGTTTTCAAAGAAATTATTCCATAAGGAAATAAACTGAACAATCAAAATTACCCTAAACAGCAAACATTTAGATTTAATATAATGCCTACATGTCCTTTTATAAAGTAAACATCTGTAGTAAGTACCTGAGCAGAAGCGTCTCATGCTGTAAAATTGTTTGGAACCTTTTTAGATCATTTTGTAAACTACACACAAACTGCGGCTTTAATGAAGCAAAGGATAACAGAGCACATTTCAGTGAGAGATAAATAATTTTTACAATTAGACAGATTTTCTATGACTGATTATTCGTACTGACTATCTTCATTGTGTGCCCATTGATAGAACCAACTTACTTTTTTTTATTTAAAAATGTTCCCAAAGAACTGCTTTGATTAATTTAGAGATATTTAAAGCATAATTCTGTCAAAATGTTTTATTTTATTTTCTAGAGGAGAGGATCTATCATACTATATATTTCATTTGGGTTTATATACTCTTATGCATTAAGCAACACAATATAACAAAGTCATTATTCTGCTCCCTATTAGATCTTTAGATGTTAAAAGCACCTTCATTTATAATCTGAATGTTACAAAAAACAAACAATTCATAGCTCACTTCATGTTAATAATAATATCATGTAATCACTCTACCTAAAATAAAAGTAGATCATAGAATGAATAGAAATATTCACTCTGTGGGAAAACTCAGGTCTATCAGTGGCAAAAGCACAACTATTTCAAAAAATGGGTGCAAATACATGCAGGACTCAACATGAACCAAACAACCTGCTTAAAAGAGACTGCAAGACTGACAGGACTACAGAGACTCCTAGTGGTTTAACCCCAGACCTGTGGGAGTCATTCAGCTTGCATGACTGACCATCTAAGGCATATCAAACCAGACATAAACATACCAGATCCTCCCCCACCATCACACATACAGCTCAGTCCAAATAGCCAGTTCTCTCAACTGGTTATTGCAATTCATTTTAAACATAAGGACAATGAAAATTGCAATGAAATCTTTGTTTAAATTAAGTAGAAATGAGCAATTCTAAGGTTTGAAAGCCGCTATGAGTTTTTTTTGTTCATTCATTAAGGACCAGAATATGTAATATGGACCAAAAAAAAGATGCATTGAAGAAACATGACACAGAGATTAGGTTAGAGAGGCTAGAATACAAAAGATGAAGAGAAGTGGATTAAAAGGAAAAGTTAAAAAGTTGTACCATAATTCAACAAAAACATTTTTTTTGCCCATTAACATTTTTCAACCAATTTAAACAACAGCTAGAGCTTTCTTCCTAAAGCACCCCCTGCTCTTCCTAAAAGTCTTCAAATGCCAGACATAATCACACTCACCCACTCCAATGTGTGCTTTGAACCGAGTGGGCACAGAGTCTCATGTGCCAGCTGTGTTTTCACACCTCGAACAGTGAAGTGTCTCTGGCCACAGTCTGGGTGCACAGTGACCACCGATCTGCAGCCGACTGGTGAGCTGGAAGCAGCTCCAAAACCATGTCCAACTTACAAAGCCCTGTTTGTTTCTCATGTTGTTTGTCCCGTAAAAACAAACAAAAGCATTCCATGGCTTGCAACTGTATTCACCACTGGCTTCTCTGAATTGTAAAAGCGTATTCAGATACCTTGGTTTGCCATACAAAGCCACAAATCTGTGTCACATGAAAGCTGGGTGGGCAGGGGTAAATGGTGTGACAGTGAGCCCATTCGCACTGCGTGAAACAAGCAGCGCGACGGCATGCCTTCACACTTCTGTTGGTGCGAGAGGAGTGATAGGAAAACAGGCTTACCTTATTTTGTCCGCTGCACTGTCAGACCTAAAGAGGAGAGACACACCTCAGTCATTTATGGTTGTGTTTGAAATTAATATGAACAAATCTTTTCAATCATTAAAATTACATAATGGGTTTTACCATCAAAGGTTTGATGTAGACAGTTGAAAAATACATGGTTGATGATTGTAATATTGCGTTAACATCAATATTTTTACTCAGCATATGATTTTCTATAGTAAAAATGATAAGGTTCTCCTTCTCCATTGCTGGGTGTAAAAAGAGTCATGTCCACTCCTAAACAAATATGTGTCCATGTGTCCATTTACAGTAAATCAATCAGTTTCAGCTCTCGTTATTTGCTGACTATGTCCATCCATCCACCCATCCATCCCGCTTGTCCAGGTTCAGGTTGGGGGGACGACCCTCTCCCCAGTCACTTTGGCCAATTCCTCTGCGGGAACCCCAAGGCGCTCGCAGGTCAGCCGAGAAACATAGTCCCTCCAGCGTGTCTTGGGTCTCATCCCGGTGGGACGTGCCCGGAACACCAGGGAGACGTCTGGGAGGCATCCTAACCAGATGCCCATGTCACCTCAATGGCTCCTCTCTACATGGAGGTGCAGTGGTCCTACTTTAAGTCCGCCCTTGATGACTGAGCTCGTCGCTCTATCACTACGGGAGAGCCCACTACAGAGAAAACTAATTTCAGCCGCTTGTATCCGGGATCTCGTTCTTTCGGTCATCACCCAAAGCTTATGACCATAGATGAGAGTAGGAATGTAGATCGACCGGTAAATCGAGAGCTTTGCTTTTTGGCTCCCCTCTCTCTTCACCACAACAGACCGGTACAGCGCACTTTTCACAGCAGATGTCACACCAATCCGCCTATCGCTACGACATGTCTACTTGACTATGTCTGTGTAGTTATTAATACAAAAGCATATTTAGTTAAAACTAGAAACAACAACAAAGAAAATGGAAACAGCAGCAGCCTTAAGTACGGAATGCAAAATTCACATTACAACTGTGTGTGTCCTAAAGCCTGTGTATGAGATTCACAAACAAAAAAACAAACTCTTTCTCCTTATTCATTGCCTTTCTCCACATCTTAGCTGATGTTTGCTTAAAATAGTCTGTTTGAAAATCATTCCCCTTATGGTGTCATACAGGGAAATAAGCTGTCTATCGCTTTCTGCAGCAGCCTATCGGTCAAGTTCCAGCCTTCAACTAATGTATCATTTCATGTTCTTAGCCGCTACCTTTAAGAACTATAACTGGTTGTCATGGTTGCAGGTTGTGGGGCTGCAGAAAGCAAAGACAGTTGGTATAGGAGAAAATTAAATAATGAGATTTTGCTGTACCTGCTGTATGCCTAATCTGAGAGGAATTGTTCTGCCCCAACAGCTAAAACATGTTTGGGGGCCTCATTGTTCAAATGTTTTAATTTTAAATGTAGCATAATATGGGACCTTTAAAGAAAATTCAAAAGAAAATTAGTGAAATCACTTAACACAATCTTTAAATTTATAATAAATGGAGGTTTGGACACTATTGCAAGGATTATTAGTTTTATTGGTCACTGCAAATACACAATATAGTGAAATTTGACCCCTGAATTTAACCTAAAAACAAGCCTAAATGGGAAGCAACTTTTGCTCAGTTTATCTGAAGATGTAGTGACATCTTTTCAGGAGTCTGTAAATTCTGTCGGCAGCGAGAGCCATTATTTACGCCTGTTATGTGGTTGCCAGGACCCGGATGTCTGGGAATTTACACAGGCACTCTGCTTCTAACCTATCATAGAGCAGTGGGCTGCTTAGAGAGCACAGGAGGCATTCTGGAGCTGATTTGATTTTTATTACTAAAGGAATTATAACTTTTCAGTTTAAAATTATAGACGTTTTTTCAGTCAATTACCTACAATACTTTGAAAATACCTAACTATTAATGATTGCATAATTGCAAAATGTAGTATACTCACTGTCAACAGCAGGTAAAGAATATGACTATGAATGATTTGATCCGAAATGTTACTACTCCATGTTAATGTTCAGTATACCTTTAATGTCTGAAAAAAAAAAAAACAGCAAAGCCATCCCACATCATATATATCACAAGGCATTTCATGTTTCCAGACATTACAGATTTATGCTTTTATTATAAACTGCGAAATTGATTACAAGTGTTACAGTGTTTATCTCTCTCGCTTCATCTTATGCTGCATCATCCTCAGCCATAACTCAAATTAGACTCATTTAGCAAAGTCATTTTGCAATATTATGTAAGGCTGTCTGCAGTTATCATGGTGGGGTTGTACTAAGGCAAAAGTAGGGCAATAAAAAAATGTTTTCTTTTCATCAGTAGCTCATCACTTTTTTAACCAAGGCACCCCCGGATACAACTAATGTCTGGCACAGGAAGCTAAATGTTACAGCCCGATACACATATTAGCTGAAAGCTTGCTGTCAGCTCAGCAAAAATGCACTGTGAGTGAACTGCATAATAATCTATGGGTAGGCAGATGCAGCAGGAGGGGAAAATAAGCAGGAATGAGAAAGATGAAGACAGTGGCACAGGTGCGATATGGGACAGGCAGCCGTTCAGTGTCCATGCAGAAATGCAGCTGACTTTACCTGCAGAGGAGACATGACATTCCGTGCCCTGTAAAGCTGGCTACAGAACGCTGCTCCCCTAGCAGCTGCTTCAGATGCCCCTCGCAAGCTAACACGAGAACAGCAAAGACAAAAGGAGCCGAAAATCCCATAGGTTTGACAGGTAGTGTCCCTAATTCCAGCAAGAGCTACACTCAGCCAGAAAAAACTGCGCAGCAGTGAGAGCCAGTGAGCGGAAAGAGAGACAGAGTGGAGGTGTAGAGTAAAGCTCATGCAGACAGAGATTATTAGAAGCTCCCAGACTAAGATGACCTGATAGATTCTCTATTTAACTACAAAATTTTTACATTGTTTTTTCACAAAATGGCAGCAGTTGTAGATCAAGTCATTTTTAGATTTACATAACTCATTTTTAGGTAGAATCCAGGCTGCAAGATAGCTCAGAATGTAGCACTTTTGCCTTGCAGCATAAGGTTCTGGGTTCAATTCCCAGCTTAGGGTCTTTCTACATGGAGTTTGCATGTTCTCCCTGTGCATGTATGGGTTCTCTCCAGATACTCTAGCTATCTCCCAAAGTCCAAATCTAGGATAACTGGCATTAGAAAAATTGGGTCTCTAAATTGTCCTATAGGTTTAAGTGTGTGTGTATCGTATCTCTATGCTGTGGAATAAATTGGCAATCTGTTGAGAGTGTAATCTGCCTTTTACCGATAGGCTGGGGAGTTTATTGGTGACTCTGACAAATAAGTTGAAGAAAATGGATGGATTTTCAGATAGATCAAGTTCAATTTTGATGTATTTATCGAAGCTCATATCAATGTTATACAGTATTTTATCTCAAGAAATCAGCTCATAAAAAGAATAAGCAATCTATAGGGGTTAGTCTTTATTTTGGCTTTTTATATGCTTGAAATAATGAAGCAGAAGCATTAAATATATTAAAATGTATGTTAAGATATATGTAGTGTATTCACCAACACTTCATATAGAGTGATCAAATAAGAATTTTTATTTTTATTCTCAGTACTTCTAAACTATTTTCCACACTCAGCGACAAACCGACTGAGAAGAGAACATTCCTAAAATATGGCATTCGTACATTACAGCAGCCCAGTTTCATGACTCAGCACAGAGGACCCAGTATTCGAGGTAAGACAGACAGTGGGATATTTCAAAAGTGTTTATTTAAAACACTGATGATCTGAGTAGCAGCGAGTAGGGCATCTATCACAGGAAACTCTGGTTTAACAGTTCAGCCCTGTCCTGAAAATGAGGTAGGATCCAGCTGGTGGGCTGCCAACAAGATGTGGCGGGTGCCACCTAGTGTGTCTTAGATGCTGCAGCCCCGGAGAACAAGCAGGAGTTCGAAGCAAGGTCAGACAACCAGATCAGAACAGGAAGGCTCAGAGGTCCAGGAGTTCAAAGAAAGTTCAGATGAACTATTCAGATGGGAAAAGGCAGGCTCAGTGTTTGAGATGCAGAGAGGTCAGGATCAGGTAACCAGAAACACCTAAGGTATGCTAAAAAAACCCTCTCACCACTGAGATCAGATGGGAATGGGAACAGGAGTGGTGGCCTAGTGGTTAGGGCATTGCACTTGCTTCTGAGTTCAAGCCCCACTTCCATAGACTAACCCCACAATGATCCCCAGGCGCAGCCCTCTGATCCTCAAAGGAATGGGTTAAATGCGTTGCTCTGTACTTGACAGTTAATGACAATAAAAGCTGGAGAGAAAAAAAAAACAGTAGCTGAGAGGCAGAACAGATCAGAATCAGGAAATCAGAAACACTAAAAACCCTCTCACCACTGGAATGAGAAAACAAGAATAATCAGGCCCTGATGACTTGATGCAAGCACCTTAAATAGAGGCAGGAGCAGGTGGCTCAGATGAGCGACGGGTAGAAATGGACCCGTGAATGAAATGAGTAAGTAAGGAAGTCATCGGTGCCAAAATCATGACATCCAGCTGATTTATACAGCATATATATATATATATATATATATATATATATATATATATATATATATATATATACCTTGCCCGAAACCTTTTTCGGGCATTCCGAAAAAGATTTCTGAGCCACCTCAGCTGACTCCTTCCGAGCCCCTCCCATTTCACCGAGCTCCTCACACTGTCTCCAAGTACAATATCGCAGCAACCACACCAATCCCTCTATTGATCTCCCACTTCGTTCTCACTTGTGAACAGGACCCCAACATACTTAAACTCCTCCACTGGAGGCAGGAACTCTGCTCCAACCCGAAGGGGACAAGCCACCTTTTTCTTGTCAAGAACCATGGATTCGGACTTGGAGGAGCTGATTCACATCTTGCCTGTTTCACACTTGGCTGCAAACTTTCTCAGTGCATGCAGTAGGTCTTGGTAGGAGGGAGGCAGTAGAACCACAACTTCTGCAGAAGCAGGGAAGAGATCTGCTGATCCCGAAACCAAACCTCAGGAGTCCCACAAGCAAACCTCGATAGAACTCCTTCTACACCTGGACAACATCCCTTGTTGCCAGTGTCCACCACTGGGTTCCGGGATTGAGGCCACAACAGGCACCACAGAACTCATTGCCACAGCTATGGATGGCCTCATCAGTAAAAAAAAGACAGAGAAAAGGGCCAAGTCGTACTCCAATGTCTCCAGCCTACCCCAGAATCTTGGAAAAGCTCTCCAAGAGTCAGGAGTTGAACATCTCTGACAGAGGGCCTGTCAAGTCTGCTGGTTGGTGACCAGCTCTGCCCCCCTCTTAGTTAAGAAATAGAAAATTAAGATTCCAGACATCTTTGAATTCACATTTAATGCAAACTAAATATTTTTTATCAAATTGAACATTAAATCTATCTTTTCCCAAGTAAGGTTTTGAGCTGAATCTTTCAGCAGGATTACAGTTTTACAGACAAACATACACACACACACACACACACACACAGAAACTCCTCACCTCTCCTCTCGGATCTGTGGTGTCAAGAAGCGAGTGCTTTCATCTTCATGGCTGCTCTGCAGGCTGCTCTGCTGACTGCTTTGCTGGCTGCTGTAAGGTGAAGGAAAAATAATGAGATGAAATGTCATTTTAGTAGTAAAGCTACTCTAGTTTCTGTATTTCTATAAAGAAAAAAACAAAAAATGCAACACAATATAAACACAATTTGGAAGCAAATACAATTTACAGAGGATTTCCATTTAATCTTCACTGTCTTTCAACTTGGTTAGGTTTAGTTGGGATAGTTAGTGTTGGTCTCCCTGCTATCATTTGACTGCTGTTTTGACCAAGATCATGTCATCTGTCAACCTGTCTGACTAATTAGCTGTCAAAAATCTACAGGCACTGACATAGGCACAATTTTTAGTAACACTCACATTTTTCTCCTGACTTGCCCTTGCACATATTCAGTGAAAACACTAGATGGGGCTAGATGACACCACCACGCAAATGTTAAAAACTCTTGATGAGAAAGTGTTGTGATAGATATGTAAGTAGATAGCAGTAATTGAAAGGGGACAACAACAAAAACCTTTTAAGCAACCAGAATTTTGGTTATCTGGTAATCTGACAAACAGATATTTGACATCTGCTACTGGATTTTATAGAGATAAATATTCAGGTAAATGCCCAGTCTTAAAAGAGCAGGACTTTCTTTATTTAAGTTATCCTGTCCAAAGAAACGCTGAATGAGGCCCTTAACAGAAATTATTTTGAGGACCTTAAAACTTAGAACGAACAACTGTTCTTTTTTTATTTTTTATATCATCCTTTTTAAGGCGCTTGCAAATTATATATGTAAATAACTAATGACTACCGATATGTAAGGATTGGGTGATGTCCCACCCTCTCACACCCTCTCTCCCTTTCAGCGCAGTAAGAAATGTTAGTTTCCATTTCCTGTGCTGTAGGTCAATGCTTTCCCTTTCATTAAAAAACTAAAGAAACTTATCTTACATGACAGTGTATTATTTCTGTCTGATCATGACCATGCATCTACAATCACATTTACATTCTGCTCTCATTTGCATACCATTAGGTGCACAAGCCAAGAAAAAACACACACAAAAAAACAACCAAACATTTTCTCTTGTACTTTTGCTATGTCTCAGTCCCCCCAATAAAACATAACAGTTCCAAGGCAGGCTGAGTGTCCCCTGAGTACATAAGCAGTGTTGTTTTACCTTTGTCTTTTCCTTACCTGTCTCAGAACCTTTCACTACAAGACAGAAAGTTGGCAGCTTTCAAAGTCTTGGTATAGGAGCTAAAGAAGAATGTCCATCATTGTTATCAAAGAAATGTTCATTAAAAAGAAGAATTGATGCGCTCAAAGTCTAGAGCAGCATTAGTGGGATGCAAGCTGACCCACAGAGGGCATAGACTAAAATTTGCTCCTAACTGATAACTGCTTGTTTAACTGTTACTCTATGATAAGTTATCTTTGTATGACTGAAATATATTGGAAGCTATCATTAAGCAATAAATACAACTACATAAAGCATAAAATTGTAGTTAAGGTACAGTAATAAGACAACTAGCAATTAACTATTAAAGAAAGGGTTCTGGTTACGCTGATGGAAATTTAGAAAATAGTAAATATAGTTTTGCCTAGCACTGGATCAAAGCGCAGATTGGGTTGGTTTCTAGCTAAAATTTTGACATTTATTAAAGCAGCCATTGCTTTGTTAAAAGACTTTATTATTTCACAATGTCAGACTACACTACGCTGAGATGAGTTAAAGCAGAAGCTACTCGCATTAAGCTTTAAGGACAATAAAGTGTACAAATTTCATATTTGTGGATTAGTTTGAGGCAATTTGGAGAAACATAGGAGTACATGCAGTAAGAGTTTTAGCAAAAGTTATAGAATTTAATTCTGAAGTTTGTGCAAATCTTTTAAGTTGATATTCCTAGTATCTGAAAGATAAGCAAGCAAGAGTATTTACCTGCTACTACATTTGCCACTAGCTTATGCAGTTTTCTTTGACAATAATAATAACTTCTAAAAACCTGTTTACCTCATTCTCTTTCACTGTGCACTATATCAAGTATTTAAATACAATAAATAATACTTGTACTTCTAATGTATACATTTTTACACTTTGTCCTCAGTCCTTTTTAACAGGACTATTTGAAATGACAAGAAAACAAGGCTGACCTAACAAAGTCCCCCATGAATTATTCATTACTCATGATGGAAAATGCTCTTTGAAATGACAGCAAGGAGGCATATCTAAATACTATCAAGTTTTAGACTCAGTTTCCAATGACAACCAAAAGCTTGTACACTGCCAAGCATTAAAATTACTGCGGAAAGAATGTGCAGATTGAAAATGTGCACAACGAATAATTGTGCCAGTTTGATTTAAATAGCTAAATGATACCTCATATAACTCTACCAAAAATATGAAACTATGATGGTGAATAGCTTTCCATGCTGAATACTGTAGGTATGCACCGTTTGTATAGCTGCTGGGGGAATCAGCAAATTCTCGTCATAATGTGTTTCTTGATTTTATGATAGTTCAAAATTGATAAAACTAGCAAAAAAAAAAAACATGTCCAAACTAATAAAAGAGAGCTTTGTGGGAGTTTGTAAGTCTGAAGTATTTTCCTGCTGGGAGAAGGGAGTGAAGCTAAGGGAACACTACTACATCGTTTTCTCAAAATAGCTGGGGTCTTATCAGGCTGTATAACAGTAGATTCCTCTGTGACTGCACTGCAGGCTTCCACTTCACTCAGACGTGCAACCCTTTACACCTACAGGGTACAAATTATCTACACCATGCAAGGAAAACTACATTAAACTATAGCAAAAAAAAACATCACCCCCCCCCATAAAAAGGGGTAAATACACACCCGCATATAGATCTCTCTCCCTCTCTCTCTCTCTCTGTATATACAGATAGATAGATAGATAGATAGATAGATAGATAGATAGATAGATAGATAGATAGATAGATAGATAGATAGATAGATAGATAGATAGATAGANGATAGATAGATAGATAGATAGATAGATAGATAGATAGATAGATAGATAGATAGATAGATAGATAGATAGATAGATAGATAGATATACAAGGTTTGCAATAAGAGCAAACAAGGCTATTCTACTCTAAAACCTTGAGAAAACTTCCATCTGTAATGTTTGTAGATTGCACAAGGGTTGCAGGTTGCACACTAACTCTGTGAGTAATTAAAAGGGTATTTAATTTGACTGCAAGTGTTCTTCAAAGTTATAAATCATGACTTTTACAACTTAATTGTAGTTCACTACATTCTCATAACTTGAGTTATTCGCTTTAAATACTTTCTAAGAACAGAAATTGCATCAAAACTGCGTTAACAGCGCAAAATTTAGATTTGAAAGTCAAAACAAGATATGAGATACTTCTATACAGAAAGCCCATATTCTTATCTTCAGCTACCACAGTATACATGTCAGATTAATTAATACCACTTATACTTAAGCGATAGTATCTACTATAGGTGTTACTTTATTTTATCTCTTATACTGTATCCGTTGGTTGTGCTGTTCTTCTTACATCTCTTTGCAGGTGATGAAGCAGACTGAAGATGTTTTATTGTTATCTCCCTTTTATCTCCCCTTCTATCTCCTTTCTTTCATCTTTTCTCCTTTTCTTTTCCTTTCCTGTTCTACTTACATTGCAGTGTCCATATAATCTGTAAAACTCCCTGCATGAATTATAACAAAGCTATTTATATGCATAAATCAAGCGGAACACTATGGCGATAGCTGTACTGCTCCACTTGTGAAAATAAAATCTGTTGGGCTCTTTTTGGCCTCAAGACAATTATTCTTATTAACACATTGCCAGACAGAACACAGTTAAAGAAAAAGAAAAAAAAAAGATATAATTAAGCAATTTTTTTTATTATTTGGGTTTTTGTTAGAAAATCTGGATACTTGTTGAAGCAAAAACCCAAATAAGAAAGGCCTGAACAGCCAAGGTTTACACTAAGCCATTTCATTAACATGAAAATGTTGCTTTTAAATGGCATTAAAACACATTTTACCATAATAAGCCACATGTTACATAGGACTGCAACAACAACAAAAAATTATATTTTGCTAATCGATCAATCTGTGGATTATTTTTTGATTAACCATGTAGTAATCAGATAGCCAAAGTTTTCTTAAGGAAAATTATTTTTAAAGAAATAAACCACGTCAGAATAAAATTTTTCCAATTGTGGAGTATTTGGTAGAGCATATTGACAGATGAAAAAGATTAATTTTTTTTTATCTTAGATGCAAAATATTCAGATATTCGTTTACAACGTTGGTTCAACTACTGCTCTAAGTGGGTAGCTCTATCAGCTAAAGGCCTGTTTTAGAGTCTCTATACTCCAGTCACCAATGAATAAATTATTAAATTAGTTGATGATTATTTCAACAATTGATTAATCACGATTAATCCAATTAAATCTTTCAGACCTAAGATTATATGAATCCTTTTTATGCCAGCCTCCTACAACCACTGGACTAGAAAAAGTTTCAACAGAAGATGCTGTTTTTTTTCTGCATACAAGTTAACCCTGTAATGCCAAATGTATCATATTTGATACATACGGTTTCTAAAATGTTTTGCGTCTGACACCTTTTGCATAATTTAATGGTAAAAACTTTGCTCAAAATCCTATTGTACACAATCAGATATACCTGATAACAGAGGGCAGAAGACTACACAAAAAATAATCCTGACTTATCGCATAGTAATAAATTATTAATATCAAAAATGTATTTCTGTTTTTTCTTTTTACATATTTTGTTAAAAGGCCAAATAAGGACTTCAAACCAAAAAAAAAAAATTTCTGTTTTGTTTTATTCTTGGATCTAGCTTTAAAGGGTTAAACAAAACAGCAAAGTTTATACAACACAGCCGCATCTACAGTATGACAGTAGCCCTGAAACACGGAGAGATAGAAAAACATGATAGTATTCATACAGTATATGTGGACTGAATCTGAATTGAAAAAACATCAAACCGATATTGATAATAGATGAAGGCAACCAAGTTAAATAC